ATGTTTCTCTCTTTCCGTATTACCCAATTTCATTCACTCGAGCAAACGAAGTGTAGTGAAAAATTTTTTTTTTTAAATGGAAAAAGAAAAAGTCATCTACGGATTTCATAAAAATTTTCCGCTCGAGAATTATAAACAGATTCTATTAAGAGTTTGTGTACAACACCGTTCAAAAATCATAGCGCAGCTTTTTTCAATTCGCTTCAAAATTGAAGGTAGAAATGAAAGGACGCGAAAGAAAACCTTTTGGAAACAAAACTGGATAAAATTGATAAATTCAACTTTGCTATTTCATCAATTGGAAAAATCATTCGCCATAAAATACCTGTAACAAAAATTTCTATAACCTTTTGTACAACATTTTATCCTCTAAAAAATATAAACATCAAAATTTAAAAAAAAAACTCGTGGCTATGCAACAATATAAACGTTTAAAACGCGCGTTCATAGATTCCTACACGTAGCGTAAAATTATGTTGAAAATTTTAATCAAGAATTTCCCCCTGCATAAAGCTGTACACGATGTCTTAAAGCCGATTTATGAGAAGCTTTCGTAAGAGGCTTTATTAAAATGTACGTGGAAGGACGCGTACAAAACAGCATCGAAACGTTGAATGCTGGTATATCGTGACCAATATTTATATCGTAGCTTAAAAACTACGAAAATTGCTTCTTACGTACAAAAGTTTAATGAAGTTCAGTATTAAAGATTAGTCCAAAAATAAAAGTCTTCTCTTTCAAGTAATTTTTGTTCTTAAAGCATAAGAAACGAGGTAATCATTATCGCAATCCATAAGAATTTGAATTATTTCCTTTCTTCATCCGCTTCGTTCTCAATATCGAAACGAATTGACGCGAAGGCGGAACGAAAAATTATAAATTAAAAAGCAGTTGAAATTCTTATCCGGCAAAAGTAACCGCACGAACAGTAAGCGCTTTGTCGATACAGTTTCCCAAATGGTTGTTCACAGTCGCCGTCACACAAGTTAACTAGAATTTCAAGGGTTAGGGAGGAGAGGGGTGGTGGGCATCAAAGTCCGGGAATGGGTATGCGATAACTGAAATTTTCATCGGTTGGAAATTTCACGGTGTCGGGTTCCTGTGTAGTCGTTAGAAAAAGCATGCACATGCCTGCGAAAACGTAGAATATTAGCACGCGCGAATAATAGCTGCGCGTTTAACCGCTCTTTAACGATATTGCCAAATAAAATTCACGGTGCTCAACTTTGTTTTTCGAACGTTTGTTTTTCGCTCTATTATTTTATACTACGCTTCTTTATTGCGTCTGAACAAGCTCTTGTCGATTGGCAGGATCTAGCGCAAGGCTTGGGAGAATTAAACCGGATTAAAATTAGAAAAACTTTGAATCGCTGTAACTTTCAAGATAATGAATTTTTATCGACGAGTGAACGATCATTGGAAGCGTGGAACTTTCTTCTTTGAAATACTTTTTCGTTTATCTCGATACGACTCTCGGTTCTCGAGATATCGTCGTGCAAAGGAAAAGTAATTTTTCGTCGTTTACCAGTTTCTTTCTTGTCGCTTCTCGCTCGCATTCTCGCTAATCTTTTCCAAATTCTAGACACAATGGAAGACGCGAGGAAATAGTTCGCGGTTTATAATCTCCATAAAGAGTAAAACTTTGAGTCCTTCTCAGTAACGGATTGAGACAATCAGAATCGAATCGAAAAGTCACTTCAATGGCATGGTTTCCACTATCTTCCGAAGTAGATATTAATGAGAAAAATTTGCAATTTCTTTTCCACAATTGTGAGCAAAGTGACGAAGCGTATAATGATATATTATTTGTCATAAAAAAAATATTTATATAAATACCTATGTATTTCTCAAAATTTAATAATAAATATGGATTTTAATTAAAATAAAGCCAATTTCACGAAGGCGTAGTTATCTTGTTAATTAGTTTTATCAACTGAATATGCGCACAATTCAGTTTTCGTTTGTTTTGTCGGTATAACTCATTTATCTTAAGATGGCTTTATTAAATTATATTATTATGACGAAGCTAGTACACCGATGTTGTCGGAAGTTGTACAACTTCGTATAAAACGATACACGATAATCTATTTTTGTCCCTGTTCCTTTGTACTCGCAAGAATAGACATTTGTTGTATTATTCGTTTTGTCTCGAATCGCTTAAATTTAAAAAGAAAAAAAAAAAAAAATTGAAATTTTCTCGTTAAAAGAATCGAAACAAAAAAATATTTGTGCGCATACATCGAGATTACATATATTGAAAAGATTACGCGTTTATTTTCTTTCTTTCTTTTTTTTTTTTCTCTTTTTTTCTAAGTAAGCGTTCCAATGTACGCCTTTGTCCCGCGCACACAGCCTGCTAACGAGTTTTCACTTTCTTTGGCGAAAGAAGTGTTTCACGGATTCTCTTTTTCTCGCCCTTCCGACCCACCGTATGGTAATGTTCAACTGCATGAATATGCATACAGAGCACTTAATCGTGTCGTGTCATTTAACTGCGAGACTGCAACTTTCCAAGTCCTTTCAGAATTTTTAATAACAGGCATTTCTAATTTTAGCGATAAGAATTTAAGGCGTCGGTTTTCGTTCTATATATCGGAATCTTTAATTTAAATTATCCATACACAACTGATTCCACACTTTTCAACTGATGATTTTCTAACAGGTACTATCCACTGATGTAGCAAATTTAAAAGAAATACTTTTTACGCAAAAATCTAAACATTCCATCGCGTCATTTATCCTTTCGTTGATAAACGACTATGCTTCCCTCAATTTACCCCCTACCCAAGTACACTCATAAATATTCCACCGAAGAGGGGGGTTGACAACTTTCCTTACCCCGACTAATTGTTAGTGTATATAACTTCTCCCGTCCCGTGAATGCTGTTATATCAACTTTGGAAATTCTGGTGGATAGTATTCGGTCCAAGAATAATATCCGTAACGATGTTACCAATTAATTCGTCGTACGATAAATCGACGGAAAATCTTAGAATCCATTCTTCCGAATATTCGATACATTTGCAATGAACAATATATTTCAAGTATAATTTTTAAAAATTTCGATCGAGATAATTTCAATCAATTAAAATGTTCTTCGAACAGGATTTATGCATATTCCAAAGCTTTATCAACTTTTCTCGTAGGATGCTGTCGACCATTTCGAGCATCCGTGTGTGCACCTATTTTCTATATATATAATATTTAAAAGATTGAGAGGAAAGATGGATCGAATACTTTACGTGGAAAAAATCCCAATGTCTCAATTTATTTCCCTCTCGATAAGATCGTAATTCCAACTTTCATTTGCTCGATCTAGCGCGCATCGTGTAATACCACTTACAGGTGTTGACGTGTCATTACGTTGGGCCACGATTACGTCGCTCAACTGTCCCTACAACAGATAATCGTCATTTGTCAAGATAAGTAAGTAGTTGCGGTGTGTCGTGTAATAGGGAGCGTATAAGCAGCCACGAGCATCTTGTTCTCTTCCCTTTCCTTATTGTGACGAGATTATACAGCAGAGGAATATAGCTGCTGAATGGATAGCATAGGAGATATACCTGAAGGTGAAATCGATGATAATAAATAAGTTGGAGCAATGTCGAAGAGGAATATTTTTTTTTTTTCCTTTCTTTCGTTCTCTCTTTCTTTCTTTTTTCTTTTGTTCCTTAATTAAGTCGATCCGTTCTCTCGATGACTTTTTAAAAACCTGCCCGCCCCTCCTTTGTTCCACGGGGAACAAAGAAGAGATTATAAGATTCTGAGGAAGCATAGCATTCGAGCATTATATACTTCTCGCTCGCTGAATATTCGAATATTAATATAAAAGCTGGAAAATAATTGGAGAATTTTTTTTTTTTACGATGCTATTCCGTATATAAAGTCGGAGAGAGTATTTCTCGCGACTTATAGCGACTCGGCCGACCGTGTTTTGCACTCTAAGAGGGACAACTGGACTGGTGGTTCCGTGATTTTATTTCCCAGTAAAAATGAAAAATCTCTCGTTGAAAAAAAAAAAAAAAAAAAAAGAAGCGACGATTCATCAATCTTGTGTCCTTTGTGATTCGAGAAAGGATCCTTGTTGTCGCTCGTAAAAATTTGAAAGAAATATCTGGCGAAGAATTTTGACAAGATCAACCAACACTCGAACGATTTCAATCCGCCATTTCTATCCCATTATTAATTAAATTGGAACGGTTGTTCTATCCGGTTACACGAAATTTCTGGCTTCGAACATCGGGATCGAATACAGCTCGATATCAGAAATGGGAACATTCCTAATTGGGAATGCGTTGAAATTGGAAAGTCTCTGTCGAAACGAGTTTCGAACGGGTTCTGCTAGAGTTTCGGCAAGGCCGAAATTTCTGATGTACCACCCCGTGTGAAAATCCGTGCGAGATTTGCCGAGCGAAAGTTTGGAACGCGTGGCGAATTTCCCGTCGCGATCGCACGGTGACAAAATTATCCGCATATTTGGAAATTACTCGTTGTCGACGGAAGGAGAATGGTGACGTATAATTGAAGCTTTCTTTTTTTTTTGTTTTTTTTTTTTAGCTCGAAAATAAATAAATTTGAAAATTCGTACCATTCGTGCGAAACTTGACTGATAATTATTGATCGAATGCATCGGTGGACAATCGATAGAAAGTTATATAGAAGAAAAAAAAAGATAAATGTAAAATTAAATTTGTACAAAAAAAATTTAATCAAAAAATTGTCCGGATACGCGGGATAAATTTGATTTCCTCGTAGAAACGAAATTTAAAATGAAAAAAAATTTTAGCCATTTCTTCACTTCCATTTAATTTTTTCGCGCACGACTTTTCGTTTCTATCGATAAAAATTAACGAAAGAATCTCTTCTCCGTGAAAATTCCGTTTCCTTGATCAAGTCTATATACCCTTAATCAACTCTGATGAGAACAGTGGATGGATTTTGTTTCAAAAAAAAAAAAAAAAAAAAAAAAAAAGAGGTGATCGCGCCATTTCTGTTTACAGGATTGTTCGAGACGGACGGCGTGTTGATTCCCGGCACGATGTGCGACCTCGAGTTTGTCAGCTCGCAATCAAAACGGCAATACGGCCGCTTCTACTCGCCACGGTACCCGTCCTCCTACCCAAAGAACATCCGGTGCTCGTACCTCTTCCGGGCAAGGTAACTACTCTGACCCACTATCGAGCTTGCTGCAAACTGATCCCGACATAATCCACATATAATGCATCTTGAGGCCAATCTCCACTCCCGCCATATATCTAATGCCCCCGCGCATTTACCTAACCGTTCCTATCTGTAATCGAGATGCCAGTTAATTAACACCTGATCCGAACGTATCCTCTATCGACGCTTCGTCCACTGATTGATTAATCTAGCCTCGTTGTATTGTCATTGTTATTATTCTTATTATTATTAACTCAAGGGCTCAAGGGTTAAAGAAAAGTTGGTCCAAATCGTTAATCGTTCGTTGGAAAATCGTACGCGTCGTGCGATGATCGTGCGAATTTATTTCGCGTCACGATTCTTTCTTTGCGCATGCGCCTCGAGAAACGGGCACCGCAGAGACATCTTTCTCCCCCCTCCGGAATCGTCACTCACAAAATTCCAACGCGTATGGAACGCTCTCTGCAACACCTCTTTTAAAATCGCGTAAAGCGACAAGGAAAATAAGTGTCCACGGGCAGTTAACGTGGATATGTATCACGTATGCGCTTAAGTGTACTTCAGGAGCGGCGATAAATTCGACGATAAACTCGATCGTACGGCGGATTCTAAATCTCATGGCGGATTCAAAATACAAATGACCGTTCTATATTATTTCAAAGATGATCAGTCTCAATTTTGTTATTCTTTCTTTTATTTCTGTTTTAATTTGTCACAACAACTTGTAACAATCTCTTCATTCGTATCTAATTACGTTAAATATTCTCGACATTTCCAAAATTATTTAATTATATTATAAGTTTTCTCATAAGTTTCTTTCTTTCTTTTTTTTTTTTTTTTATATGAAATGAATACACACAAATTCATCTCTCTTTATTTCGCTTACGGATTGGAATCGTTTGGGACGTCTTAATAGGATAGAAAAGTGAATATTCTCTCGAAACTGAGAAAAATAATTATTTTGAATTCGGGAGATGACGATTCCTCTCGCAAAATAATATTTAGTTGAAACGTATCTCTATTACGCTTTGTCTCGCAAATTTTCCGGCTGCCGTAACTTTTCTCGTTTGTCATCTTCGCTCCTCGTTGCGTTTCGTGCCTGAAAGTTTACACCACGGTTGTGTCGCGGTTATTTTCTGTAAAGGGTGGACAGGATGAAAAGAAGTGTCAGAAACATTGGAGACGGCTGAATATTCTTGAACGCGGATCTATATGAAATATGACTTCGCGGCTATGGTTGAAGACAGACGTCGACAGGTGTGCGACACTCACCGATTGCCTTGCTTGAGAAAGGAGATACGAAATTGGAAAATTTTGTTTTCCAATTGGTTAAACGGGCGCGAAGAATAAGGTTTCGTTGTTGAAGATTAGAAAAGTGGAATAAAGGACATTTTTTTTTTTTTTAATAACGGTAATTATTATTGGAATTTAAATTTTCGAAGAACTTGGCAGTTTGAAAGTTGAAAGTTTTCAAAGTTTTCTATCGATTTTTCGAGAAAAAAGAACAGACTTTGAATATTTTCATTTTTTTTAAAAATGTTTTGAAATCAATCTCAGCGAAGTAAAAGTTTTACAAGTGCAATTTTTCTGTTTTCAACAGTGGTAGAAAATAATTAGATTTCTTCTGGGATCCCTCCCTCCCCCTTCTGCCCCCTCAGACCCTTTTTCTTTAATTCGATTATATTCTATTAAGTTTGTCGGATACAGGTTTCCAAAAGCAATTATTTGTTTCTTTCAGAAGAAAGAAAGTTTTTCTCCAACATTTCATTTTACGCGAAAATTTCGTTATCTCTCGTTATTTTCTTTTCATTTATCAATCTCAAAACTCGGTTTTATTTATCAACTCTGTACATTCTCCCCCTGCAATTTTTGCCCCTCCTAATCCCCCGTTTAATTAAATTATCGAATTCGATCCATTTAAAAAAATGTTTGCTTGAGAGAAACGTTTTGATTTGATTACAGGTTAAAGGAGAGGATACGTTTATTTTTCGAAGAAATTTCTTTACAAAAGGGAGACTTGAGGTAAGGCTTTCTTATATTTATTATATTTAAGACTTTTTACCTTCGTTCATTTTCTATATAGATAATATATTTTAACAAAAAAAAAAAAAAAAAAAAAAAAAAAAAAAAAAAGAAAAAACCAATTACGTTTAATATCATCGCGTTATTATTCCTTCGATAAACGAGTCAAGTAACTCGATTACAACTGAGATTATTCGCGATGGCGAAACGCAGTGCGAATTCAATTTGAAATTTCAGAAACGTGCAACGCTTGCGTAGTTGGCAAACCAAATAGTAAGGCATAGAATTTAATAATACTAATTTTATGAATATAAAATTTCGACTCATAATTTTGTTTCCACGTATTTCATTATGTTTTATTTAACTTTCTCATATAAATCATGATTTTTTTGTTCCCGACCCGAAGTTATACCTTGAATCTCTCTACACCAAGAAAAAAAAAAAATTCGTCCGAAAATATAAAAATTAAACGCAGGAAGGCAAATAATAATATTTGCATCAAAATATCTATTGAAATTTAAAAACTATAAATGTTATTTATTTTATACATTCGAAAGTAGTATATATTCGTAACGATATTTCCGGTTTCATAAGCATTTTTTCAACATTTAACCTCTTTGTTTCATCAATCTTCGTGAATATTGATATCTATAGATATTTTTCAAAACCTGACAAAACAATATTTTTCTCTAACAAATCGTATCAGGCATTTATTTGTTCTTTATTTTCGAATAATTAATTAACAAATCAATGCTCTCCAAATTAAACTAAAAAACGAATCGTGTCATCTCTATCCACATATCCGCCATCGCGAATTTTCCTTCCCGATAATAGTTTGAACAGAGTTTGTAAAAGCGAGAATGGCCGTCGGAATCATACTAGCAACTTTGCCGCGTGTTATTGGACAAAGAAAATCGCTTTTGGGGTTTCGAAGTTTCGAAGATGTGTAGATGGAAAGGGAAAGGGACGACAAGTAAGAAGAGGAAGGAACTTGGTGAAGAAAGAGAGAGAGAGAGAGAGAGAGAGAGAGGATTAAAGTCGTGAATTGGCCAAGTGCGAATCGAAGTCGCGTTAACTGTTAAACCTTGCTGTATCTACTCGAGCATCGATGATTCATAACTACGAGAGAAAACTCAACTGTGCAAATACGATCGTCGAAAGACACGTTTAACACACGAATTGTACGAAGAATCGATCCTCGTATTACGGAATTTCTTCGAAATTAATTCATCGAAAAATGAAAATTTCTGAATCGAATCAACGTAGAATTTATTTACTTGTTCTTTGCTCGTGATTCGATCGTTAGAAAATTTTTTGAAGAAAAGAAGAAATCCTGTCCACGCGATTATTCATTTTCGATCTTTTTTTTTCTCTTCGAAAAAAGTATAAATTACAAAAGTTCAAGACGAACAAATATGGATATTTCAATTTTTCGCGAATAATTCGATGAACGTTTACGAAATTATTCCAGGTCGAATGTCAAAACTTTACTTTCCCCCAAAACCGTGAAATCACATTTCCAATAATCCGGATTTTACACGCTTGATTCCCGCTTTGTTATGCCACGCGATACGAATTCTCGATCGAACCGTAATTCCGTAATTCAAAGGTTGAAAGATGGAAAAGGAAACGCGACGGATTATCTCTAACCTCGACGATTTTATTAATTTAACACGAACTGTAATAATAATAATAATAATAATATTCACCGAAAAACATTCCGTTCCGCGTTGCCGCTCGGTTAAAAATCTGATAAATTTTAAAAACCGCCTGCCCACGAGAGAGCCACGCTCCTGTGCGTCTCCACGCTCCCCTCTACTCTACGGTGCTTCCACCACGCGCTGCTAATTATGAGTTACGACGCCTGTCGGTTATTAACGTTTACGAGTTAACGAGGCGCGATAACGGCCGAGGCGCAAGAATCGGCCAACGTTCCGCCCAAACTTTTCTATTTAAAAGTTTGGCAACATTGTATTCCGCTCGTAGCTCGATGGTATGTCAAACTTCGTAAACGGGAAGGGGGAGTCTGGACGGATTAAACACGCAATGAAGAGATTTGCGTGCGCCCGATAAACTTCCCTTGGATAGTATTATTTTAGTAAAATTTTTTTCTCCTCCTTCTCCTCCTCCCCTCGCCTTCGTTCGATCGTTTGTTCAAACTTTAATAGGATACGAACAAGGTAACGGTAGAAAGTAAAGTTTTTTTCGCACGATACATCACGATACGCGCATCGTCGCGGATCAAGCGTTACGAAGTATAACTCCACTCAATTATTCTTCCCTCTTTTCCTGTTTTCGAGAAATGGAAGGCTAATCTTTGAATAGTTCAAATAGAAGCGTTTTCATTACGTGTCTCGTTACGTTCTATAGGATTGAAAGATAGAGAAAATATTTTTATTAATATTAAGATAGAGGACTCGCCTTGTTCGTGATCGATTGTCGATGGTTTTTGAATTACTATTTCGATTCTTAAGTAGAATTTTATCTGAAGAGAGAAAGAGAAGGGGAAGTCGAGGATCGATGAGAAAATTTGTTTTATGAAGAAGAAATAATTATAATAAAAAAAAAGATCGATGATTACATTTCGAATAATTGAAATTGAGAGGTAAAGAAACGTGTTCAATCGTATCCCGTTTTTTCTCCCTCGATAAGCAGATTTTCCCTCTCCCCGTATTTGCATATCGAATTGAGGGACTACGAAATAATTCGTCGTGTAAATCCGCATCAGAGAGATGTGCTTTGTTGCAGAAACGTGGCGTCTAACGTGTATGCAACAGCCCGCAACATTACATCTTTATCGATCGATAATATCGAGCCCATCATTCTTCCAAAGAAGCTTATTGCGAATTCTCGCGGGAGAAAATGATTTTAAAATTTTCATTGTTCATTAATTTTAATGCATCACGATC